CAAGGACCACTTCTATACAGCAACCAGGCCGTGACCATCCGTCTGTTTGACTGTCTATGGAACATACTAAGCTCTCTCTCTCCCCAGAGTTATTTCTTGATGAGAATTACCGTATCAATGAAATTGGTCAAAAATTTAGCTAACCAATGCGCCTTTCGCAAAACACCTCACACAGTTTGCTTAACTTTGGTAGACTTACAAATGTGGGGTGATATTCTTCATCTGGCCTTTTAAATTATAGCGTAAAATCACGTCACAATAGGCATCTCGTACCCTTTAATCGATCACCACAGTCCAGGTTGCTGTGTTCTTTCTAATCCGACAGAACCGCTGTTTTTTGTTGTTAGAATAACAAAATGTGGCGATAAGACACAGCGAAGAGGCAGAATCAGACATCTAGCCTCTTCATCCCATTCCGTACTCTTGGAATTTTTCCAAAATCTTCTTGTTAAAATCACAATGGTTAGGTTGAATATATGGAGGATTTTAGGTCACAAGTGGAACTTTGTTGCTGCTCTGTGATTCGCTGACATTGAAAGTGAGCAAGGCAGATGTACACTGTTTGGTGTTGATGCTGTTTCACTTCCCGGGGTGCACGCTTACAAAATCAGAATGCCTTCGTTGAGCGACAGTTAAGTCAACAGTGATGCTATCTTGGATAAGCTGCTGTCTGCAGTTTAAACATACCGAAACAGTTGTTCATTGTGTCAGGCCTCGTAATGCTGGTTGTCATACGCCGACAGGAGCCACTGATGCATGTGATTTGGGCTGTACTCCCTCGATAGTTTGATTACTGGCTTGGAGAATACTCAATAGAGCGAGAGTTGCAGTGGTGTTTTTTAAAGCCCATGTGACGGTCATATTACATTAGTAACGTTACATGCACGTTACATGCACTACAACAGATAATGTGTTTGCTTTCTTGTTCTATCGTATACCCATGTTTATCACTCAGTTTGTTCATGGGCGTGTACCGTTGAAGTATGAAGATACTCGTCAACTGTGACGGTTTACTGAAATGTTCGGTATCCTGGCACCCGACTGCAGTCCATTCACACCAAGAGACCGGTCTTGACTCAGAAGCCTAGTTTTGCACCCGTCTTATCCCTCTGAAAAGCCTTAGAGACGGATATATGAATCGACCGTACAGTGGTTCACTTGCTTATCCCAGTGGCCAACTATAATGCGTCAGGGATGATGGACTTATGGGATAAGGTGAGGTGATTGCGTTTGGTCTGAAGCCTTTCGTACGAACATGCAGTCTCTGGTGAAATTTTCAGCCTTGGACTATCCAATTAGGAAGGTCAATACTCTTCAGGTTCTAGATGATTGACTGCGTTATCGAAACGTTATCATTGAGTGAAAAAGATCAAAATACGATACCGTATTCCAAGCGATCCGAATGATGGATGGGTGCGCTTGAGTGAAGGTTAACCAAATGCAGCGATCGCCCAGAGACCCGACGGTAATGTTTATCGAATTCATCCTGAGTTGAAAAAAACGTAAACATACGCTGTACACTCATCTTTGTAAATATTTTAAGCGTAGCACTAGGCTTGTCATCAAATGCATAATGGATAGACTGTGGCACTCATCGGACTACAAACTTCACGACAGGCTTCATTCTAGTCGTCTCTCGGGATGATTTTGGTGCCCAAATATTCAGTCTGTCCAGAAAAAAACTGCACCTGCAGCGTGAAGGACCTAGAGATGTTGGTTGCAGTGACGAATTCTGGATGGACAGGAAAAGAGACCATTACAGAAGTGGCATGTTATACCAGTTTTGAAGAAGCCTGTGGGTGCCGGGAAGTGAGCAGCTACAGTAAACTGTAACTTGGATATAGTGTAACTATTGACCTCCTATTGGTTTTCATCATTAGGCAGCACGAAGTGACAAACGATGTGGCTATCGAAAAACGAACAGTCACGTGGCCCGGACGTTTCTGTTCTGATATGGACTATCAATGAGTTCAATGCCCTTGAGATGTAATCAGAACGTGCCTTCACGCACGTGAGGGTACCAGAAGCGTTGCACAAATCATTAGGAAGACTGACTAAGTATTTGAAGAGAAAAGCTGGTGCGACGTGTCTAATTTTGAAAGATCAAGCCTGTTATCACCTAGTGATCAGGGGTGCACGTTATCACGCGCGTTAGGAACACAAAGCCAAATTTACCTGTGTAACGGGGGGTACTACTGATGAGGCATGCGAGTAATATGTTTTCTTGTAACTCCGCTTTGCGTCTATTGAAAAGTGGGATTTATTACGGAGTTTGTGGAATTGCTTTGTAGCATTCGTTTACAGGGACAGGTTGGAAACTAAGGTAACTGAGGTCAGCTTCATTCAAACAGTTTTCCAAAACATCATGTAACTGTTTGATATTCGCTGAACTCGCGATGCAGTGTTTTTACAGATGGAAAGGCTCCCGCTATTGACTACGACTCAGTCTGTTTTCTTTCACTATCTTTAAGCCGGTTGACACTATATTACTGTCGACTGGAATCACATGGCTGCGCACGACGCTTGGGAAAGCATACGTTTCGTGAGTTTGCACTCATGCAGGTGTCTAGCTGTCGGGGTTTCTTGCAGATTTACTCTCTGCAGAGTTCTTACATGTATCTCATTAGTACCCTATAATTTCACGTGAAATGATCCCTGAATTTTCTTGTATGTATGAGAGCTGAAATCTAGCCTGAACCATTCATCCACAATCTGAAAGTTAGAGCAGAGTATCTGCTTTAACCCTACATACGGCAGCTGGGATTCAACAAAGTACAGTCCCTTTCATAGAGGAAACTACTCACAAGGTTGCTAGAATCTCTTCAACAGCCCACGACTGGTTTCGCCCTTCCACTTTGGGCTCATCGGGAAGGCGCAGTCTCCGAGTTTCCGTCAACCTTATGTTCTACTTGAATCCAAATTAAACTGTTTTCAAGAGATACACTCATTTGCAAATCAATTCGGTTTCAACGATAGACTCAAA